AGTAGAAAAGTGTATAGAAATTCAATACTGCTGAAATTGAATGAATTCCAAATATGAGACTACTGACAAATTTTTTACTACTACTTATGCTACAGTGTTCAACATAAAAATTATATTATTGTATTCCTCTACTTCAGAGCTACAATATGTATGTTTTATCATATTGAATGGACCAGTCCTTAAATTAATATTGTGTAATTTGTTAAAAATGCTCAAAAAGCGTGACAAGAGAGTAAAATGATCGGCATTGATCTACATTGATCTGCACTGATCTACACTGACCTACAGTCCTAATGACACATTGGTTGAGGGTATTAGTCTGTAACATTCACTAAATAAATAATTTTTTCTCTCTTTTTGTTCCTCATCTCTTAACAGTCCTATTCTATGGTCAGCACAGCTTGTTCTGGCCTCCCTTCTTAATGCTAGGCTCTAGAATACTCTATACAAGAAGGAGAAAGGAAAAACAACAGAGAACTCATGAATATTTGATGATAGAATGCTAAAGATTATGACCTCAGATGAGACCAGGGAAAAGCTCAGGCAGAAGAAGGAATACAGGGAAAGGGAAGAGAAGGAGGTCCAGGCAAGAAAGGAGGAGGCTAAAAGGAAGAAGGAAGTGAATAATATGATTGAAAGTGAATGGAAATGAATCAAGACTCACCATGACAAAGAGCTTGCTAAATGGCAGGCTAAATGCTCTACTTGGAGGGAGGAAGGGCTCCCAAGGGCTTATTAGAGCTCTAGACCTTCTAGACTAACAAAAAAACAAGTCCAGGACAATATAATACAAGAGAGGGGCCTTGATGAAGAAGAAACAGTGTCTGGATGTGGTGAATACAACTTAGACCTGTGAAGACACAACAAATAATGTAGGAATTTTGTCTAAAGGTACAGATATGACTATAGAACAATTGCCTGTATAAACAAGAGCAAGAGGAGTGAGCCAAGAGTGAACATAGGAGTGCAAGTTGAGAAGATAGGGGTGGACAGGTTGAATGCATGCCAGTGTGATAGAGTGTCACAGGGGTGTTCAAAGGAACGACTTTTGTGACAAAATCTCACTTTTTTCTTATCTTCATATTAATTTTTTTACAGCACTTACTGTCATTTTCATAAATATTGTCACATGCACGATTCGTGATTTTCGTCACACTAAGTACACTCAAATACAAAATCTATCATAACTCAACTAATACTTAACCAAATTACATGATCTAAGTTGTAAAAAATATACTTTTAAAGTGTCTTTCATATCCCAGAAAAAATAAAGTAAAATGATCAAAAATTGAGTAAGA